TCAGCATGTCAATCTCCAGGTCGCGAATGCCGTTGACGCGATTGATGAACGGTACCTCCCACCCGTATAGTTTGATCACGCGCATGCCACCGAGAATCTCCGAGACCACCTTCACCCGCTCGTCCTTCTTCTTCATCTGCTTAATCTGCAGCCGCCGCTGGTAGGCGCTGATCCAGCCGTTCTAGGGAACAGGAAAAGGTCATTAAAAATGTTAACATTTTTACACAACAATCAGCCCACTTACCAGCGGAATCATGCACACCATCACCGTCAGGCCGGCCAGCACCGAGGGCCCCAGCTCCGCCCAGAGAAAGTACAGCGTGAGGGCGATCTGCAGCGGACACGACCAGATCAGATTGACGAAGGGCATCAGGTCGACGAAGCGCTGCGCGTCGACGCTCATCAGGTTGACGATCTCCCCGGTCGTGGTCTCCCGGCGGGCGTCGGTGCTCAGGCTGAGCGCCTTCCGGTAGATGGCGCTGATCAGCGAGGAGCGGACGCGCATTCCGATGCTGAACATGACGTGGAAGTACTGGTTGAGCAGCACTGACTGCAGGCAGTTGACGACGAAGAAGCCGAGGGCGATGAAGAGGCCGTGCCAGAGCGGTTCGCTGGCCACCGGCTTGCCGATGAAGCCGATGAAGACTCTGGGGGGTGAAAATGTGGGTTAGAAAATGTCTTTAAAAAGCTAAAACCTAAACAGGTACTTACTTTAGCAAGAGGGGATTGGCAAACTGGAGCACGTCCTGCAGCACCTTGAAGAGCGCCCCCATGAAGAAGTAGCACCCAAAGACGGCCATCAGCGAGCGGACGATGCCCGGTCGGCTGCCCGCCGCCTGCACGAACATCACCTCGTCGCCGTCTTTAGGTGGTGGTGGTACTTGAGGAGGACTTCCGCCTCCCTCGGTGACCGCCACCGGCACCGGCACCGGGACCATCTTGATCTGCCGCAGCCAGGCGGCGTCAAAGATGGGCGCAATGGAGCTGGTCATGAACTCAGGGCTGAGGCGCCACAGGTCGTCCAGGGTGAGCGATTTCCGGAAGCCGGTAATGGCCAGCCGGTTGAACCAGTGGTAGGTCAGCTGGGAGAGGTAGGAGGCCTCCAGCTCGGGGCACTCCTTCAGCTCCGCCGCCACGCCGTCTTTGGTGGAGAGCGCTCGCTTCTCAAAGAGCGGCTTAGCTTCTTCGCCCGCCGTCTTCGTCGTTGTCGGCCGTTGAAGGCTGCTACTGCCGTTGCTGATGGCGGTGACGCTCTTCAGCTCGACGGCGCTGCCGTTGATGAGAAAGGCGTCCACTCCCTCTGAGGCTGATAATGGCTTACCACCACCGCCTCCTTCACTGGAAAGTCTTCGACCCAGGGTGGAAGGTCGCTTGTCGGCGAAGCAGGTCAGCAGGAAGAGGGCCAGACAGAGGCCAAAGTGCGTCGAGTAGGTGAGCAGCTCCATCGTGGAGCCGCCAGCTTTTCCCCCGGCAATCGTCGCCGCCGCCGCCGGAAGTAGGCTGTCCACTACGGCTGGGGCGGCGGCGCCGGCGGCTGCCAGGCTGCTGCTGTCCTCTCCGTAGAAGCGCACGTACATGTAGACGACGGGCAGGGCGCAGAGCATCACCAGGAAGGTGAA